TCTCTCTCTCTCTCTCTCTCTCTCTGTGTGTGTGTGTGTGTGTGTGTGTGTGTGTGTGTGTGTGTGTGTGTGTGTGTGTGTTTTAGATTTTCCCCCCCACAGCCCCAATTCCACCCAGGTGAATAGATTCAGAATCAAAGCAGTCTTTGTCCTATTGCAGACAACGAGAGCATTTGAGATGCCCAACATACTAAAGCAATTCTATAATTAAACAGTTTTTTGGTTGTCCTTGGGGTACCCCTTTCATTGTTCTTGCAGCTCCCCTTTTACTGTGCCTCTTCCGCACAAGGCTGCCCACGTTGACTGTGGTTAACTATAACATAACGAAATCACAGCACCGAACGAGACAGACAACGGACTCAAGGCATACTCGTATTTCTGGGTGGGAGACATATCTATGTACCGGCACATGTTCAATCCATAGTAAGCGTTCAATCCATCATAGTTGGAGAAGCCCTTGCATTTATCCGGGCCAAGCATGTTGGAAAAATCAGAAAAGGATGTGGTAGTCAGAAGAGCTATAAAGCACATCGAGCTGAACATAAGTGTGACCTGCTCTGTGTGTGTGTGTGTGTGTGTGTGTGTGTGTGTGTGTGTGTGTGTGTGTGTGTGTGTGTGTGTGTGCGTGCAGGTATGGATGGTGCTGGCCTTCTCTCAAGGACAGCCACTGCAGACAAAGGTCTGTCGCCTGAAGCCACTCCACCCGCAGGCACAGCCCACAATGACCGCCCAGAGCATGTCGGTCTATCTCCGCCAACCAAGGCGACTTTGACCTGCACTGGCCTTCCTTAAGTATTTCAGTCGGGCTGTCCAGAGTCGTCCAGACAAGACCGCATTCTACCGGGTTCCAGATCAGGCCCAATCCTTGAGCTGGCCGAGCCTCACCTGTCCTTATCCATTTTCATATCCGTGCCAATCAATCAATCACTCAACCCATTCCATCCATAACAATCAATCAAGCTATAGATCCTATGTTTATCAATCAATCAATCAATCAATCAATCAGTCAAACAATCTACTATTTTTTAAATATCCACCCCTACCACTCAATCAAGCTTTTCTTATCTACCTATCCATCCTTACCAATCAATCAATCTATAACTCCTATCCTCATCAATCAATCAATCCGTCCTTATTCATCTATCAATCCTTGCGAATCACTCAATCTATACACCCTAACCTTATCAATCAATTTATCCATCATATCAATCCATCCATCCTATCCTTCATCAATCAATCCATCCATCCTATCCTCATCAATCAATCAAGCAACACATTCATCCTGTCCATATCAATCAACGCGTACCCATCCACCCGTCCATCCTCATCCATCGGTCCATCTATCCGCATCCATCAAGCCATCGATCCATCCTCATCTCGTCATCCCTCTGTCGATGTGTCATTCATCCATCCATCCATCCGTCCGTAAAATCCGTCCACGCACCCATCCATCCATCCATCCATCCGTCCATGCTCCCATTCATCCATCCATCGATCCATTTCATCCATCCATCCATCCATCCATCCATCCATCCATCCGTCCATGCTCCCATTCATCCATCCATCMATCCATTTCATCCATCCATCCATCCATCCATCTGTCAATCTACCTACCTATGGAACAACTGGGGGCCTGCAGGTGACAGATGAAGGCCGGCAGACGGCGGGCTGTTGTGTCGAGTCCCCTCACACACACACACACACACACACACACACACACACACACACACACACACACATACTCCTGATAAGTCGGTGAAAGGACGAAACAGTCCGGCACAGTCATGCTTTTTTTTAATGGACAACAAACACACACACACACAGCGTATACAAGCCTGAAGGAATGGCATGGGCTACGGATCGTACCTCAGCCTACCTAAGCACATTCTATAGAAAAAAATCCAATGGCGATGACCGATCATCAGCAGAGAGAGAAGGAACAGAAACAGGCGAGGAGAGAGAACAGGCAGCAAGACCATCATCGCAATTGAGCTCATGCACTGACGGAATTCGTCCATGATCAAAAGAAACGTATCTACTTCCTCTGAGAAAGGACATACTTACAACAGCAGTTTTTCGACTGCGTAAGTGCTTTTACAAGTCCTAGCGTGAGTATCGCGTTCGCGGTAGGCGGACCCTCGCCAGAGCAACATCCTTCCAGAAGATCGACCCGCGACACCGCAGCTTCGGCCCATCGCAGAATTTTAAAAATAGCGGATGGGAAACAAAGGGCAATGCATGTGAGGGGGGGCGAGTGAAGAAGGCAGAACCTCCAAGGCAGAACCTCCATCATGTTCTCAGAATTAACTAAAATCGAGATGAATAGAAGGAAAGGAGAGAGAGAAAACCGACTATGTGATTATTCTCAGAATTAACTAAAATCGAGATGAATAGAAGGAAAGGAGAGAGAGAAAATCGCACGCAGACGATATAGTCGTCCCCCGATGATAAAAAAGTCATAAAACCTCCCCGCCCCTCGACGAAACCTTTGTATCGGTTTCCCCCCAAACGGCGAAAAAGGTGCCGCAGGCCCCAAAATCACTTTCCGCGTCATTTTTGCACCCGGCAAAACACTTTCCCGCCATTTTTACGCACCGGCCGTTACCGGCCCAGCCAGGGTGCAAAAATGACACCAAAAGTGATTTTGGGACCTGCGGCACTTTTTTTCTCGTTTGGGGGGAAATGGATACGAAGGTTTCGTCGCGGGGAGGTTTTATGACTTTTCCCGATAAAGATAATGACGACGATTTACCATCGTGTCTCTAAAGAAAACGGGGATAAAGAGGAGTGAGTAGAGAACACTTCTGCCCCCCTCATTCACACCAGTCATCAGATAGTCGGCCCAAACTAGGTGACCGCGAAAGACGCCAATCAAGGGGAAGAAGGCTGGAAGGGGAAGCCCGGGGGGTAAAGCGGCTCGGAAAGGAGG